AAAAATCGAAGAAGCAATTGAAAAATTGATAAATCGAGAAATTGAACAATCAAAACAACGAAACATCTGAATTCGATAAATTGAGAAATCAAAAAATTGAATAATTGAAAAATTAAAAAAAAAAACTGGAAAATCGAAAATTAAAAAATTCTAAAAATTGAAAAATTGTCAAATGTAGAAGAACTGAAAACTCGAGATATCGAAAACCCTAGAATTTTAAAAACTGAAATATTAAAACATCGAAAAGTTGACAAATTGAAAAATCGAAGTATAAAACAGTATAAAGACAGTCGAAAAATTGAAAAATGTAAAGTTTAACAATAAATTGAGAATTCAAAAAGTAAAAAATCGAAAAATCAAACAAAATCCATCAAAATTCAAAAATCCAAAAACTGAAAAATAAAATAGCTGGAATCTTAAAAATTTTAAACATTTAAAAATTTGAAGAAATATTGAAGAACTCAAAAATCGAAAAACAAGAAATCGATAAACCAAAATTTAAAAAATCGCCAAAAATGAAATATCGAAAATTGAAGAATCCAAAAACTGAAAAATCGAAACACTTTAAACATTGAAAGATCAACAATTTTCAAAATGGAAAAATTGAAAAACCTAAAAATTTAAAAATCGAGAAGACGAAAAATCTGAAGATCGAGAAATCGAAACATCAAAAAACTGAAAAATCTAAAATTTAAAAATTCGAAAAATTGAAACATTGTAGGACTGAAAAATTAAAAATCAAGAAATCGAGAAATCGAAAAATATAAAACTTTAAATATTGAAAAATTAAAATATCGAAAAATTTAAAAATCCAGAACTACAAACATCAAAAAATCGAAAAATTAAATATTCCAAAATTGAAAAGTTCTTAAAATTGAAATCTTAAAAAATAGAGAAATCGAAAACTTGAAAAATGGAGAAATCCAGAAATCGAAAAGTCGAAAATTTTTCAAAATCCGAGATGTCAAAAAATCGAAAATTGGACAATCAAAAAACTAAAAATATCAAAGATCTGAAAAATCGAAAAATCTAAAATTTAAAAAATTAAAAAACCGGAAAATCTAAACCAAAGAAATCGAAAAACTGAAACATCGAAAAATTGAAAAATCGAGACATCGAAAAATTGAAGAATCGAAATACTAAAAAATCCCAAACTGGAATTTTGAAAAACTGAAAAATGTAAGATTTAAAAAATAAATAATTTAAAAACTGAAAAAGAAAATAACTGGAATCTTTTAATTTATAAACATTTAAAAAATTGAAAAAATAGAAAATAGAAATATTGAAGAACTGAAAAATCGAAAAATCCAGAAATCGAAAATCGAAAATTACAAAATCGCCAAATAGAGGAAAATTGAAGAATCAAAAAATTGAAAAATCGATAAATTGAAAAATTCCAGAATTGAAATCACGGAACCGAAAAATTGAAAACACGAAACATGAAAAATCAAGAAATCGCAACATCAAAAACCAAAAACTTGAAAATTCTAAAATTTAAAAATCGAGAAATCGAAAAATTGAAGAAACGAAACATTGAAAAATCCTAAAACTGAAATTTTTGAAAAATTGAAAAATTTACACTTTAAAAAATCCAAAAAACTGAAACATAAAATAGCAGGAATTTTAAAAATTTTATACATTTAAAAATTTGAAGAAATATTGAAGAACTGAAAAACCGAAAAATCAAGAAATCGATAAACCAAAATTTAAAAAATCGCCAAAATTGAAATATCGGAAAATTGAAGAATCCAAAAACTGAAAAATCGAAACATTTTAAACATTGAAAGATCAACAATTTTCAAAATGGAAAAATTGAAAAACCTAAAAATCTAAAAATCGAGAAGTCGAAAAATCTGAAGATCGAGAAACCGAAACATCAAAAAACTGAAAAATCTAAAATTTAAAAATTCGAAAAATTGAAACATTGTAGGACTGAAAAATTTAAAAACCAAGAATTCGGGAAATCGAAAAATATAAAACTTTAAATATTGAAAAATTGTAAAGTTCTTAAAATTGAAATGTTAAAAAATAGAGAAATCGAAAACTTGAAAAATCGAGAAATCCAGAAATCGAAAAGTCGAAAATTTTTCAAAATCAAATAACCGAGATGTCAAAAAATCGAAAAATTGAAAAAATCGAAAAATTCGAAAATCAAAAAACTAAAAATATCAAAGATCTGAAAAATCGAAAAATCTAAAATTAAAAAAATTAAAAAACCGAAAAATCTAAACCAAAGAAATCGAAAAACTGAAACATCGAAAAATTGAAAAATCGAGATTTCGCAACAACAAAAAATCGAAAAATTAAAGATCCTAATATTAAAAAATCCCAAAACTGGAATTTTGAAAAACTGAAAAATGTAAGATTTAAAAAATAAATAATTTAAAAACTAAAAAAGAAAATAACTGGAATCTTTTAATTTTTAAACATTTAAAAAATTGAAAAAATAGAAAATGGAAATATTGAAGAACTGAAAAATCGAAAAATCCAGAAATCGAAAATCGAAAATTAAAAAATCGCCAAATAGAGGAAAATTGAAGAAGCAAAAAATTGAAAAATCGATAAATTGAAAAATTCCAGAATTGAAATCACGGAACCGAAAAATTGAAAACACGAAACATGAAAAATTTGTTAAATCGAAAAGGTGAAAAGTCGAACAATTGAAAAACTGAGAAATCAGAAGAAGCCAAGATTGAAAAAATAAAAATCAAATAATTGAAAAATTTTAAATTGAAAAATATGCATAAATCTAAAAATTAAAAACTGGAGAAATCGGGAAGATGAACAATCATAAATTCCAAAGAATGAAATCTCAATAAATCGAGAAATTGAAAAAGTGAAAAAACGAAAAATTTTAAAACCGAAAAATTGAAAAATCGCAATATCAAAAATTTTAAAAATCGAAAAATTGAAAAGTAAAATAACTGAAATCTGAAAAAATTTAAAACTTTGAAAAATTGGAAAACAGAAATATTGAAGAACTGAAAAATCGAAAACAGAAAATGCCAAAATTGGAATATCGAAAAACTTTAAAATCGATAATTTGAAAAATTCCATCAAGAAACTGAAAAATGTAAAAAATTCGAAAAATTGTAATATCGAAGAACTGATAAATGGAAAAATTGAAAAATTGAAAAATTGAGGAATCGAAAAAGTAAAAAAATCAAGAAATCGATAAATTTTAATTTTAAAAAACGAAAGGTTAAAATATCGAAAAATTGAAAAATTAAAAAATCTAAAATTTAAAAATCGAAAAATTGAAAAACCGAAAAATCGAGAAACCGGAAATCCAATTTTAAAGATTGCAAAAATTGAAAAATCGGAAGACCAAAAAATTGAGAAATTGGAAAATTCCAAAACTGAAATGACGAAAAATTGGGAAATCGAAATTGAACACTCGAAACATCGACAAATTGTAAAATCGAAAAACGGAAAATTAAAATATTGAAAACTTTAATATTGAAAAAATCCATAAATTGAAAAATTGAAAAATCGAAAATCGAGAAAATGAACAATCAAAAACTCTAAAAAAAAATCGGAAAATTGAAAAATCGAAAGATCAGAAACTTTAAAAATTCGAAAATTGAAAAACCGAAAAATATGAAATTTAAAAATTCGGAAAATTGAAATATCGAAGAACTGGAAAATAGAAAAGTCGAGAAATCGAGAAGTCGAAAAATATAAAATTTTAAATATTGAAAAATTAAATATCGAAAAATTAAAAAATCTAGAATTTAAAGATAGAAAACTTGAGAAATTGAAAAAGTGAAAAATCGAGAAATCGAAAAATTAAATTTTAAAAATTGCAAAAAATCGAAGAATCGAAGAACAGAAAAATTGAGAAATTAAAAAATTCCAAAACTGAAATGATGAATTGGAAAATCGAAAAACTGTAAATTTGAAACATCAAAAAATTATAAAATTGGAATGTTGAAAAATTGAAAAATTTCTCAATTTTTCTCAATTGAAATAGGCCTATAGCCAAAATACGAATAGTTAAAAATTGAAAAAATTGAAACATTTAAAATAAAAAATCGATAAATCGAGAAACAGAAAAATCCAAAAATTTATAGACCGAAAAATTGAAAAATCGAAAAATGAAATATTTTAAAATTCGAAAAAAAAAACTGAAAGATCTGCTAATCGAATTTAAAATTTCGCAAAACTGAAATATCGAAGAACAGAAAAATCGAACAATCGAGACATCGAGAAATTACAAAATCTGAAATTTTAAAAAGTACAAAATCAAAATAAGGAAAAGTTGAAAAATCGACAAATTGATGAGTCGAGTAACTGAAGTGTTGTTAAAGCTGAAACATCGGAAAACTCAGAAATCAAAAAATTAGGAATCGAAAAATTGCAAAATCCCAACACAAAAATATCTAAAAAGTGAAAATTCGAGATTTAAAAAAAATAGAAACTTCGAAAAATTGAAAAATCGAGAAATTGTTATATGTATCTACAATTTAGATTTTTTTTTTAAATCTCGATGTCCAAGATAAAAATGCAACACAGATTCATAAAGGACTATGTTAGTTTCAAGACTGTGTTACATTGCAAGATTTCAAAGCATTCGATTTTACTATTGCAAAATTTGGAGATGACGTCATTCCGTTGTTGGGGGGGATGAGCAAACAAATTTGACTAAAAAGTGTTAACTGAAGAAAAATAATGATACTAAAGATGGCGAAATCTAAGAGAACGAATGTTGAATTGCAAGTTGTTATTTAGAGCCAACAGAAAATTTCTAGAAAAAGAGGAAACAATCTTTATTTAGAGTTTTAATTTTTAATTATTTTGGGATTTAAAGGAAATGGTGTGACTCAAATTAAAATAATGTTAGTTTTAGTTAAAACACATTTTGACGTTTACTGCTTTTATGAAAAAAAAAGAATCTTCACAGATTTTGGTGCTTTTCCTTGTCGATCTCAAACAATCTAATTTACGACAGATTTTTCATAAGCTTTTATCCTCCGAGCAATCTTGTTGTAACGTCTCACACATGGCACATCACTCTATCTTTGTCAACGAGCCGGTGAATGATGTTTAAATTCATTCTAAATCCTGAACCAACACCCTCGTCTGCCAGACTATGAATATATAAAATGTTAATCTTCTTTGTCGAACTGTTGAACGTTCCTGAATCATAAATCACATATCAGAGTATTACTATTTGCATAACATCATTTGTATAAAGCAAATGACAGTCTGTCTTCTACACGTGTTCCGGGAGATGAAAAATTTCTTTCCGCAACAATTTCTCAAAATCCGCTCCACAGGCAATCAATTTTACTCCTGTTTATTACTATACTGTAATTGTACCCCTTATTTGAAATTTTAGAGAGATCGTTTCACACCACTTCTCTCTCCAGCATTCTTTAGTATTCACCGCCACCACCACCGGACTTGCCCCCGAAGAAGGGTTCCCGCAGTGGCCGCGCCGGAATTTACGACGTCCATTAAACCGGTGAGGAGCCACCCCCAGATTGTCGAACAAAGCGCGAGATGATAACTTATTGTCACATAAACGTCCCCATGCCGCTCCACATTTTATTACGTAAGCCGGCCGGCTTTATTTTGGCGCGGCCATTAAAAAATGATCGACCCTCATTTGAATAGTTTGACTTTTACGATCAACTACTCAACAAAGGAAGCCTTTGTGTGTAATTTATGCCGGATAAAATTTTAATGGAAACGTACGATTTCGCTAAAGAGTTATATAACATCGGAGCTGCATTTTACAGCCGGCGGTGTCGTAAACTTGTCTCCGGGGCCCCGCGTTTAATTGAATTGTTCTTATGCGTATCGCGGTTTGCTGCGCAAAAGAAACGGATTTTGTTTGTTTTTCGGATGTGGATTTTCTGTGCAGGAGGGTGATTACTGGTCTGTGAGCCGGAATCCGATTTCAAGGAAGCTTCTGGGTTGAAGTCGGTGGTGTTCGGTTTTACTCAGAGATGGCAGGCCGTGCTCTATTTTCATCACGATTACGTTTTTCTAAATAAAAGCTTTGTGTTTAAATTACCTCAAAGGTTGTTTTTATCATTCGAATTTCATTTTTTTGTTGTTGTTGTTAGCGAGTTTTATTCCCATTTATTCTTGTTTTTTGGTGCGAGCTGTTTTAACTCTAACCACTTTTGAATGTCTCGTTTTTTTTTTTTTAATTTTTTTGTAAGAAATAATTATGGAGACGAACTCAAATAAACGTCGATCAGGTTCAGGAAGACCCTGAATTTCGGCTGTTGAACCAGATGAAACCTTGGTTGATGTGTTATGGAATCACCATTTTAGCAATGCCGTTGACACTTCACCAAAGAGGTTTTTTTTTAATTTTCCAAAGATTGCCATGCTTCACATTGACGATTTTGGAAAAGCAGTTTGACGAAATAAAGTCGGAAATAAATTTTCAAAATCGTAATCTACAGAAAACTCTCTTTGGAGGGTATATTATTTGCCAAAATCAGTCTTACCGTAGCAAGTACTATCCCCGCCCACGCGACTTCAATTTTCGAAAATGGTCAAAAAAAGTCGAAAACTTCATTGGGGACAGTACCGAAAAACTGGGAAATTTACCTAAAAATCCATAAAAAAATTCTAGAATAGAAATGTCAACAAGCTAATTCGAAAAATACAGCGCAGAAGCCATATCTGCTTTCATTTCTTCGATAACTCCATTGGTTTTTCCAGATTCGTCCTTTGAAACACTCAAAAATATGCAAAATACCCCAATTTTCGAACTTTCACTAAATATATTTTCTTGTAGATTTCGAGCCGCAGAAGTCATATCCGCTTTCATTTCTTCGATAACTCCATTGGTTTTTCCAGAATCGTCCTTTGAAACATTAAAAAATATGCAAAATACCCCAATTTTCGACCAATTTTTAACAAAATTTTCGAAATTTCACTTAATACGTTTTCTTGAAGATTTCGGGCCGCAGAAGTCATATCCGCTTTCATTTCTTCGATAACTCCAATGGTTTTTCCAGAACCGTCTTTTCAAACATTCAAAAATATAAAAAATACCCCAATTTTCGACCAGTTTTAAACAAAATTTTCGAAATTTCACTAAATATATTTTCTTGTAGATTTCAGGCCGCAGAAGTCATATCCGCTTTCATTTCTTCGATAACTCCATTGGTTTTTCCAGAATCGTCCTTTGAAACATTAAAAAATATGCAAAATACCCCAATTTTCGACCAATTTTTAACAAAATTTTCGAAATTTCACTTAATACGTTTTCTTGAAGATTTCGGGCCGCAGAAGTCATATCCGCTTTCATTTCTTCGATAACTCCAATGGTTTTTCCAGAACCGTCTTTTCAAACATTCAAAAATATAAAAAATACCCCAATTTTCGACCAATTTCAAACAAAATTTTCGAAATTTCACTAAATATATTTTCTTGTAGATTTCAGGCCGCAGAAGTCATATCCGCTTTCATTTCTTCGATAACTCCATTGGTTTTTCCAGAATCGTCTTTTGAAACATTCAAAAATATAAATTTTCGACCAATTTTCAACAAAATTTTCGAAATTTCACTAAATATATTTTCTTGTAGATGTCAGGTCGCACAAGTCATATCCGCTTTCATTTCTTCGATACCTCCATTGGTTTTTCCAGATTCGTCCTTGAAACACTCAAAAATATGCAAAATACCCCAATTTTCAAAATTTCACCAAATATATTTTCTTGTAGTTTCGGGCCGCAGAAGTCATATCCGCTTTCATTTCTTTGATAACTCCAATGGTTTTTCCAGGAACACTTTCGTAAATAAATGGTTGTTATTTAAAAATCTAAAAATTTAAATCGAGAAACTGAAAAATTAAAAATCGAAGAACTAAAAGTTGAAAAATTTTGATCGTGATTTCGTGATTTCGTGATTTCGTGATTTCGTGATTTCGTGATTCATGATTCGTGATTCGTGATTAGTGAAAAGTGATTAGGGAATAGTGAATAGTGATTCGTGATTAGTAATTGGTGCTTCGTGATTCGTGATTCGTGATTCGTGATTAGAGATTCGTGAGTCGTGATTAGTGATTAGTAATTGGTGATTAGTGATTCATGATTCGTGATTCGTGATTAGTGATTCGTGATTCGGGATTAGTGATTCGTGATTAGTAATTAGAGATTAGTGAGTCGTGATTTGTGATTAGTAATTGGTGATTCGTGATTCGTAATTCGTGATTCGTGATTTGCGATTAGTGATTCGTGATTTGTGATTCGTGATTGGTGATTGGTGATTAGTGATTATTGATTCGTGATTCGTGATTCGTAATTCGTGAGTCGTGATTAGTGATTAGTGATTAGTGATCACTTAATCACTTAATTACTTAATTACTCACTCACTCACTTAAAAAAAAATGTATAATGAAGCATCTAAAAATTTAAGAATTTTGGAAATAGAAATAGAAAAATTGAAAAACTTGGAAATTAAAAATTCGGAAAGGAAAAGCCGCAAGATTGCAAACCAGCAAAAAATAAAATCACTAAAAATAAAAAAATTGTTCAAGAATCGGAAAAAACAAACTAAAACCGAAAAATTATAACAATGAAACATCGAAGAGTTTAAGACTTTGGGAAATAGAAAATAGAAAAATTGAAAAATTGTAAAAAAAAATAGAGAGAAAAATTGAAGAATGGAAAATCGAAAATTTGAAGAACTGAAAAATTAAATAATCGAAAAATTGAAAAGTTGAGACACCGAGAAAATTAATAATCAAAAATGAAAAACTTAAAAATTTTAAAACTGCAAGATTGAAAAAGTAAAAAATTTAACAATTTAACACGTTTCTAAAAAATCGTAAGATTGAAGAAACGAAAAATTGAAACATCAAAACTTAAAAATCAAACTACTAAAAATCGGAATACTAAACATAAAAATTAATTTATTTAGTTTAGTTTGATTTATGTGATGAACACTTTCGTAAATAAATGGTTGTTATTTAAAAATCTAAAAATTTAAATCGAGAAACTGAAAAATTAAAAATCGAAGAACTAAAAGTTGAAAAATTCCAAACCACGAAAATTGAAAAAATACTTCAAAAATTGGAAAAAATAGGAACATTGAAAAATAAAACTGCAAAACTTAGAAATTAAAAAATCCGAAAGGAAAATCAGAAAGAAAAAATCCCAAGATTGCAAAACACCAAACAAATTAAATTACTAATCACTAATCACTAATCACTGATGACTGATCACTGATCACTGATCGTGATTTCGTGATTTCGTGATTCATGATTCGTGATTCGTGATTCGTGATTCGTGATTCATGATTCGTAATTCGTGATTCGTGATTAGTGATTTGTGATTCGTGATTCGTAATTCGTGATTAGAGATTCGTGATTTTGTTGAAAATTGGACGAAATTTGGGGCATTTTGCATATTTTTGAATGTTTAAAAGGACGATTCTGGAAAAACCAATGGAGTTATCGAAGAAATGAAAGCGGATATGACTTCTGCAGCCTGAAAACTACAAGAAAACGAATCAAGTGAAATTTCGAAAATTTTGTTAAAAATTGGTCGAAAATTGGGGTATTTTGCATATTTTTTAATGTTTCATAGGACGATTATGAAAAACCAATGGAGTTATCGAAGAAATGAAAGCGAAGAATGAGTGAGTGAGTGAGTGAGTGAGTGAGTAAGTGAGTAATTAAGTAATTAAGTGATTAAGTGATCACTAATCACTAATCACAAATTACTAATCACGAATCACTAATCACGAATCACGAATCACTAATCACTAATCACTAATCACTAATCACTAATCACTAATCACGACTCACGAATCACTAATCACGACTCACGAATCACTAATCACTAATCACGAATCACTAATCGTGAATCACTAATCACGAATCACGAATCACTAACCACTAATCACGAATCACGAATCGCTAATCACGAATCATGAATCACGAATCAATAATCACTAATCATAATCACTAATAACGAATAATCACGAATCACTAATCACGAATCACGAATCACAAATCACGAATCACGAAATCACGATCAGTGATCACTAATCACTGATCACTGATCGTGATTCCGTGATTTCGTGATTTCGTGACTAATGATTCGTGATTCGTGATTAATGATTCGTGATTAGTGATTGGTGATTAGTGATTCATGATTCGCGATTCGTGATTCGTGATTCGTGATTAGTGTTTCGTGAGTCGTGATTAGTGATTCGTGATTCGTGATTCGTAATTCGTGATTCGTAATTAGTGATTCGTGATTCGTGATTAGTGATTGGTGATTGGTGATTCGTGATTGGTGATTAGTGATTAGTGATTAGTGAGTCGTGATTAGTGATCATTTACTATGTACAATTTTGAAGTGACGTCATCACATAAGTGGGGATGATTAGACAAATTTTAGTTAGCGTTTTACCATCTACATGAAATTTTGTACTATTACAAAATTTCACAACAATCGGTCCAGTACTCGGAGATTATCTGTCTAATAAAAATCCTGGACGGCAGACAAACGGACAGACGGACACACGGACAGACGGACTGACGGACGGACGGACAGACGGACAGACAGACGGAAATGGGAGACCTATTTCATTGTCTTCTAGGGGTCATGAAAGATCGAGAAAACGTAAAAGTAGAGAGTCGACCGACGGACTCGATTACAATACTTCCTTTGCTTGCGCTCGGGAAGTAAAAATATGCAAAAAACTCCAATTTTCGACGAATTTTCAACAAAATTTTCGAAATTTCACATAATACATTTTCTTCTAGACTTCGAGCCGCAGAAGTCATATCCCCTTTCACTTCTTCGATAACTCCATTGGTTTCTCCAGAATCGTCATTTGAAACATTAAAAAATATGCAAAAAAACCCCAATTTTCGACCAATTTTCAACAAAATTTTCGAAATTTCAGAAAATACATTTTCTTGTAGATTTCGGGCGGCAGAAGTCAAATCCGGTTTCATTTCTTCGATAACTCCAATGGTTTTTCCAGAATCGTCGTTT